GACCTTTTGCTGCAGATGGTTATTAAGCAACTGAAATGTGAATAGCCTAGGGGCGCCTGGGTGGCTCAGGGGGTTAAACCTCTGCCTTCAGCTCAGGTCATGATCCCAGGGTCCTGGGATCGAGCCCCATAGCGGGCTGTCTGCTCAGCGGGGAGTCTGCTTCCCCTTCTCTCTCTGCCTGCCTCTCTGCCTACTTGTGATCTCTGTCTGTCAAATAAATAAATACAATTTAAAAAACTAAGAAATGTGACTAGTCTGAATGGAAGTGTTGCCATTACTAAAATTCACACCAGATCCCAAAGACTGGAAAAAAGGAATGCAATATATCTCCCTCATAATTTTTTTTTTTAAGGTTTTTATTTATTTATTTGACAGAGAGAAATCACAAGTAGGCAGAGAGGCAGGCAGAGAGAGAGGAGGAAGCAGGCTCCCTGCTGAGCAGAAAGCCCGATGTGGGGCTCGAACCCAGGACCTGGGATCATGACCTGAGCCGAAGGCAGCGGCTTAACCCACTGAGCCACCCAGGCGCCCCTCCCTCATAATTTTTAATGATTTCTTATAGAAATATTTGGGATATTTTGGGTTAAACAAAATGTATTCTTCATATTATTTTGGTTTTTTTAGCCTCTTAAATATGGCTACTAGAATATTTATGCTACCTATGAGGCTTACATTACATTTTTATTAGAGAGCAGAGCTCTCCAGGCCAAGGAGTAGCTCTTTTTCTTTCTTTCTTTCTTTCTTTCTTTCTTTCTTTCTTTCTTTTCTTCTTTCTTTCTTTCAAGATTTTATTTACTTATTTGACAGACAGAGATCACAAGTAGGCAGAGAGGCAGGCAGAGAGAGACGGGGAAGCAGGCTCCCCACTGAGCAGAGAGCCCAACCAGGACCCCTGAGTCTACGGCAGAGGCTTAACCCACTGAGCCCCCCAGGCGCCCCTAGCTGTTTCAATCTTAATTTCTTACTGGCTCTGTCTTTAGAATGCTTTTTGTTGCTTCTTGCTACTGAACAAGGTAAACTATGGGCTCAACAGTGGATTTTCTATAGATAATTCTTAATAGTTGTTGATTACTCACTTAAGAGTCCCTGGATGGTCCCTTTCAGGTTGAAAGGCCAACTTTATTTACAAGGGGTACATCTGGAGACTCAATACCAGGACTCTTTAGCTTTTTTTTTTTTTTTTTTTTGGGTAATTTGTGTGGGTAATTAAGACAAATTGTGCGGACTGAGGGAAAGGCAGGAGGTAGTATAGTAACAAGTTGGGTTTGGGTCACTGGAGAGATTGTGGTGCTTTTCTGAGCAAAAAAGTAATGGAGGATGAGATATGCCAGACAAGAGGAGTCCTATTTCAGAAACGGTGGGTTTGAGTGGGGACATGACGATGGAGCTGTTGTCCAGAAAGTGGGTCCAAGAGTCTGTAGTCAGGACAGAGAGGCAGACTGAGGAGACCAAGACCTAGCAGGTAACACCAGGACAGAGTTGTCTTTCTTTTTTTATTTTATTTTTTTTTTAATATTTATTTATTTGACCGACAGAGATCACAAGTAGGCAGAGAGGCAGGCAGAGAGAGAAGGGGAAGCAGGCTCCTTGCCGAGCAGAGAGCGGGGCTCAATCCCAGGACCCTGAGACCATGACCTGAGCTGAAAGCAGAGGCTTAACTCACTGAGCCACCCAGGCGCCCCTAGAGTTGTCTTTCAAGAGAAGGTCATTCACCTGCCAGAGAAAAGGGCGAGTTGGATATTAACATTCATTCTGACCGTTTTGTTGGAGATTCGCAAACATTCCATTAAGATGAAGCTGAGAGGAAACTAAAGACACAGGCATCAAAACATTTCAGCATTGAGGGCGCCTGGGTGGCTCAGTGGGTTAAGCCGTTGCCTTTGGCTCAGGTCATGATCTCAGAGTCCTGGGATCAAGTCCCGCATCGGGCTCTCTGCTTGGCGGGGAGCCTGCTTCCTTCTCTCTCTCTCTCTCTCTCTCTCTCTCTCTGCCTGCCTCTCCGTCTACTTGTGATCTCTCTCTCTGTCAAATAAATACATAAAATCTTAAAAAAACAAAACAAACAAACAAAAAAACATTTCAGCATTGAGAGATGCTGAATTGAGAGAATGATGGAGAAGGAGGAGAGCTGAAAGAAGAGAAAAAGACCCGACATATAACTCGGGTCGAAGTGAAGGGAGGAGGGCTGCTTATTCATTTACTGTTTTAATTTAATTCCATTAATTAAAATTTAAGTATACTTGCTTTATTATGTCGTCTATCCACATATCTGTCTATTAAAGCAACTTAATTTTTTGATATGTTTTTGAGCAAGTTGTAGTTTTTCCCGACTACATTCACATATTATGAACTGGAGCTCAACATTTGTTTCACATTTTCCAATTTGCTTATCTTATTTTCACAGTCCATATCCAATTGCCTTTGTTGGAAAATGGGTAGCAACTAATACACTTTTTTGGTGACCTGTTTGGGATGCCAATCCTAAAGACTTTTACCAACAGCTATGCTAGATTAGATTCTTGAATATAGTTGATCTTTCTTTTCTGTATCCTGGTACTTAGTATTTGGCCAGGCACAAATACTATTTGTTATTTGTTAAATGTGTTTTCTTTCAGGTAGAGATAGGATATCTTATCTTGATTAAATGGAGTTAGGCTTAGGCCATGCCCAGGCATCTTTGGGATTACTAAACACTGTTTGCCTTCAGGATGCCTCACCAGTCCCTGAAGGAATAAACTATGTAGTGTTGTTTGTTATAAAGAATTTGGAACCTAAATCTATAGGTTTAAGTATTGTCTTTGCTGCTTGGTGACCTTGGACAAATCTCTTAGCCTGAATTTATTCATTTATTAAATTGGATTGAGGGTACCTACCTACATGCCCACACTTGTGAGTTTCCAACTAGCCTTTGCATGTAGCAGAACTTTGTCTCCTGTGACTGCTACACAATTGCCATCCGCCATTCCACATTCAAAGGATGTGAGAGCTTCAGCAGTCTTCACTCTCCTTTTCCTCTCTCCTGCCCTCCCTCCTTGCCTTCTTCTCTCCCTTTTTATCTCTGGAACTTCAATATATTACCGAAGTAAATAGTAAACAAACAAAAAACAAACAACACACCCCAAATAGTTCAAAGACGTCAAGGAAAGAGCAAAAATAAAAATCCATAGTACCTTCATGTTCAAACAGGCAGAAAATTCTAAAGCCTTGGGCGAATTGTGCCCTCTGAGGAGGCTACATTCTAGAAGGGAGCTGTGAAAGAGGGAACAAAGGCTTTTCAAGTGCTCCAGAGCTGGTGAGAGACAGGGTTGTTACCGTCTGGAGTTATTATATTAAAGTTGATGTCTCCAAACCATTTACTCAGAAAGGCCACCTAAAATGCCTGGCTGCCTGGCTCTTGGGTTATCTATTTTTAAGAACATAATTTGAAAAATGCTCATAATTATTGCTATATGATAGTTTTACATCAAAGATTTATAGGACTGTTTTGTTTTTAGGTACAAATGGTTAAGGAGAGAGGTTTAGAATGTAGTTCCCAATATTCAAGGGAACATTTGCTTGCTGCATTTAAATTTCATCATCTAATATGTAGTACTTTTTCCTCCTTCGGGCTTACTTTAAAATTCTAACATGTCGGATAGTTACTCCTTATTTTCAAAGTGGTTAACGAGGAATCTGTGACTCAATTACTGTAACATTATTGACTAAAGCTGCTTTAATCTCTTGGCGCTTCTTTAGATACCTAGGATGTTTAAAAATGCCTTTTTAATATGGGTAACTAAATTTCCTAGGTAACAGTGACAAGATTTACAGTGAAGGAAATTTTTATATTAATATAGGAGCCTGAATGTTAAGAGACTCTGTTACAGCAAACTGTTATAAACTTTTATAAAAGAGGCAGGGACAAAGTTTGCCTTGAAGGGTTTGCTTGGGAAGCAGTGATTTATACCATAACATCTGATTTCATGTGTTTGTGCCAAGCGTGTTTCCTTTTTGTCTTTTTCCTTTTTATACGCAACAACAATAGGAGCATGTTTAATATTGATGAGTTTGACCTTCTGGGAATTATAGTATATGTACCCTTTCGGAATACAAATGCTATTTGATTTATATGGTAAACACGTAGAATTTTGGAGATTAGCATTTTAATCAACTCTAATCTCCTAGGATTTTTTTTTTTAATTCCCTCACCTTACCATTTTGTCAAGAAAAGTTTGAAAAATGAATTTTTGAAATGGCAGCTAACGTTCTCTCCTGTAGACGGACGCAAGGTCTGCATCAAACATGAGAGCCGCACTGGATGCAGGAACCTTCCCTAAACCATACGCTCGAGCCCATTAACACTGTTCAAGATGATCAGGTGTTAAAAGAACAATCCATGCATTCAACAAATATTCATCGAGGAGCCCTGCAGGCCCATGGGGGAGGGGCCTCCACACTCTGGCTCCCCCAAACTGGAACGTGGGTTCAGGTGTTCTCCATTTAAGATTTTTTTTTGTTTAACTTTTCCCCTTGCAGGTCCCTCAGCCTTGAAGTTGGCGGTGCCCCCTCCGGCCCACGAACTTCCCCGCGGCGACCACGCGTTCGGTGCACGCGGCGGAGAGGAAAGGGCCGAGATAGAGCAAGCGTCTTTCGCGCGCGGCTTCGGCGAGGAGCCGGGCGGCGGCGGCGGCGGCGGCAGCGGGGGCGGCGGCGGCCATCGGGGGGCCCGGCCCGGCCTGCGTTCCGCGCCGCCATTGGCTGGCTCCGAGCGCCGCACTGAGCATGTTCGAGCCCCGCTCGCGCCGGGCTGCAGCCGCCGCCACGGCCGCCGCGGGCGCGCATTGTGCGGAGAAGCGGCAGATGCGAGCAGCGCCGGCAGCACGCGCGTCGGCCTCCTCGCGCAGAGGCTCGCCCGGCCGCCTGCCCGGCCCGCGCGCCTCCCCCTGTGCGGGCTGGGCGCCGAGGAGGGCCGGCATGGCCTGAGTGTCGGCGGCGCCTCGGCCGAACAGCGGGATTGCGACATGGGGAACCAGGACGGGAAGCTGAAGAGGAGCGCAGGTGAAGCCTTGCACGAAGGCGGAAGCGGCGCCGAGGATGCCGTTGGGCCCAGGGATGTGGAAGCCACAAAGAAGGGGAGCGGGGGCAAGAAGGCGCTGGGCAAGCACGGCAAGGGGGGAGGGGGCGGCGGCGGCGGCGGCGGGGGGGAGCCGGGCAAGAAGAAGAGCAAGTCGGAATCCAGAGCCTCCGTGTTCTCCAACCTGCGGATCAGGAAGAACCTGTCCAAGGGGAAGAGCACCGGCGGCTCCCGCGAGGACGTGCTGGACCCCCAGGCCCTGCCGACCGGGGAGCTGGACAGCGCGCACTCTCTGGTCACCAAGACGCCAGACCTCAGCCTCTCGGCAGACGAGACGGGCCTGTCGGACACCGAGTGTGCCGACCCCTTCGAGGTAACCCGTCCGAGGGACCATGGACCCGCGGAGGCTGGGGGTGGGGGCAGGGTGGTCTTGGAGGGTTTGGAGACCGCCGCGGGGACGCAGGATGGACAAAGGACCAGTTCGGGCTCGGACACGGACATCTACAGCTTTCACTCGGCCACGGAGCAGGAGGACCTGCTTTCAGACATTCAGCAGGCGATCCGCCAGCAACAGCAGCAGCAGCTGCTGCTGCTCCAGGGCCCCGAGGAGCCTGCGGCGCCCTCCACAGCCGCCTCCCCCCAGCCCGGGGCCTTCCTGGGCCTGGACCAGTACTTGCTGGGGTCCAGCAGCGCAGCCGGGGGGGGCCCCTCGCAGTCCGGACACGGAGCAGGCGGTGCCTGCGCGCTCTGACCTGCCCGGCAGCCTGGTCCCCGAGCCCCGGGCGCCCGAGCAGCCCTCGCCCCCCGGCGGCCCCGGAGCCTCGGCGGAGCCCGGCCTGCCCGTGGGCCAGCCCGCGGCCGCAGACTCGCCCTCCTCCACCGTCTTCGCGTTCCCCGAGTCCTCGCCGGGAGAGGGCTCGGCCGCAGCCGCCGGGCCAGGGGCTGGGGACACTGACGAGGAGGGCGAGGAAGACGCATTTGAGGATGCCCGCCGAGACTCTCCGGGGGAGGCGTGGGGCCTGGGGGTGGGAGAGGGGCCCCCGGCGCCGGGAGCAGAGCCCGAGGGGGAGCCCGGCAGGCCCAGCGCCCCGGCGGCGGCCTCCCTGCCCAGCAGCCCCGCGCCCAGCCCGCGCTGCTTCAAGCCCTACCCGCTCATCACCCCCTGCTACATCAAGACCACCACCCGGCAGCTCAGCTCGCCCAACCACTCTCCCTCCCAGTCCCCCAGCCAGAGCCCCAGGATCAAGAGGCGGCCGGAGCCCTCCCTGAGCCGGGGGCCCAGAGCCGCCCTGGTCTCGGCCGCCGCTCCAGCCAAGAAGCACCGGGCTGACGGCGGCCTCGCCTGCGGCCTCAGCCGCTCAGCCGACTGGACCGAGGAGCTGGGCAGCCGCGCGCCCCCGGCCGGGGGCTCTGCGCACCTGCTGGAACGCGGGGCGGCCTCGGAGGGGAGTGGGGGGGCGCCCGCCGTGCAGGCCGCCAAGGTGTCTGGGGCCCCGGCGGCTGCTGATGGTTTCCAGAACGTGTTCACAGGTGAGTGCGCTCGTGGCGGAGTGGCTGCCAATCAGGGCCCTCCGCGGTCACCTGCTCCAAGGCTGAGACGCCTAGACCTGCTTCTGGCAAGTCCTGCCTTCTTAGGGAATCCGTTCAGGTCCTGCTCACCAGCTCAGTAAAATCTGTTTTTCTTTTCTTTTCTCTTTCCTTTCCTTCCCCTTTAACGTCCCTTCCCTTTCCCTTCCTTTCCTCTCTTTTCTTTTGTCTTTTCTTTTTTCTTTTCTTTCCAGAGAGGACAGCTTCGTTGTGTCTCAAAAAAGGGCTCAGTCCATTTGTCCAAAACATGTGCTGGTCTCTATGCCCAGGGTTCCACCAGACAGATCAACTCCACCCCCCCCCCTTTTTTTTTTGGCATAGTTAGCTGAGCCATCATTCTCTTTCTGTCCTGATCCCCACAGCATTAAAAAGACCAAACTTGTTAATGATTCTTTGATAAAGGTCAAGAAACAATTTATTCCAGTGCTATCCAGAGGCAATCTCTGACTGCTCTAACACATGTGGGTATATATGTACGTATGTAATATGTAGTTCTAGCTCAGCCATCTGGGTAGACTACTCACTGAACTTAAGGGGACATTCCTGTTTGCTGATGCGACCAAATCTGACACATGGTATTAGAAAGTTAATAAATGAAATAGAATATTAGGGATAATTTTCATTGGGTTTTATGTCCTGTCAAAACAGGGCATAGCTTGGAGATAGTGAAGATGAGAAAACCAAAAGGACATGTAACCCAACTGGCACCTCTTCTCAGCCGTTGTTATAGATTCTGATGGGCACCGTGAAAGCCCAGCTAAGAGGTCCACTTACTGTGGTTAAAAAGCAAGTAGTTCAGTGAGTTTATCCTTTCTTATACGCTATAGGCCCCAAGGCCTTACCTTAAGTGCCTACTGGTAGAGCGATGGTTTGTTTCCTGTTCTCTTCTACTCTTAGTTATTAAAGGAAATATTGACTAAGAATTTAAGGAGTAGAAAAGAATGAAAATTTATACAATTGCTGGTAGGTTTGTGATAAATATTTGAATGATTAAAAAGTTCAAATGTAATTCGAAAAGCTTAACATCCTCTGTTAAGTTTTCGATTAACCCATTTGATAAATGGGTTAGCTATAAAATATTTCTTTTCAAAAAATTATTTGACAGAGTGAGATCACAAGTAGGCAGGGAGGAGGGTGGAGGTCGGGGGTGGAGCAGGCTCCCAGCTGAGCAGAGAACCCCATGTGGGGCTCTATCCCAGGACCCTGGGATTATGACCTGAGCTGAAGGCAGAGGCTTAACCCACTGAGCCGCCCATGCACCCCCCCTATAAAACATTTCTTAAGTGACATTTCTCAATGGGCATAGCTACTTTGGCTAACTGCCATTAATGTTGTTTACTTGTATTTACTACATTTTTATTTTCACTTATGGATCACCTTTTATATTTATAGATTCTTTTTTTTATTTATTTGAGAGAGAGACAGTGAGATAGCATGAGAGGGGAGGACAGAGGGAGAAGCAGACTCCCCATGGAGCTGGGAGCCTGATGTGGGACTTGATCCTAAGACTCCGGGATCACGACCTGAGCCGAAGGCAGTCACTTAACCAACTGAGCCACCCAGGTGCCCCATATTTATAGATTCTTTTTTTTTTTTAAATTTTATTTATTTATTTGACAGAGATCACAAGCAGGCAGAGAGGCAGGCAGAGAGAGAGGAGGAAGCAGGCTCCTTGCTGAGCAGAGAGCCCGATGTGGGGCTTGATCCCAGGACCCTGAGATCATGACCTGAGCTGAAGGCAGCGGCTTAACCCACTGAGCCACCCAGGCGCCCCTATTTATAGATTCTTAAGAGTAGCTTCTTTTTATTCACTTTGTTCATTTATTTACTGCTTGCTCCCTTTCCCTCTCTCGCTCTCTTTTTAACTTCTCCTCCCTTCCCTTTATTGTGTAGGTTAAGTTAAAAGTAATGCTTATAGTCTAATACCCTGTAGGTAAATTATAAAAATATAAACAAAACAAATCCCCGAAAGACTGTTTTGAAGGAAGAAGACAGGAAGTTCTTGAGTCAATTTCGTGAATTTAATGTTGGTGAGAAATCATATGTTTCCTCTTTAGGGAATCATTCATTTATAAATGTGTATGTAAATGTATGTGTTTTTAAAAAAGATTTATTTATTTAAAAGAGAGTGCGTGTGCAGGGGGAGAGGTAGGAGGAAAGAACCTCAAGCAGACTTCCCGCTGAGCCCAGAACCCAGACTTGGGGCTACATCCCAGGACCCTGAGATTATGCCCTGAACGAAACCAAGAGTCAGGCGCTCAACCCACTGAGCTGCTTGGGTGTCCCTCTAAATATATATTTTTAAATGAAAATGTCACCATGATTCACATTATCATTTATTAATATTAATGGTTGCTTTTTCTAATAGATTAGACTTTGAATATACATTTAAAAAATTATTTTTTAAAGATTTTATTTATTTACTTGACAGAGACGCAGTGAGAGAGGGAACGCAGCAGAGGGAGTGGGAGAGGGAGAAGCAGGCCTCCTACAGAGCGGGAAGCCCGATGTGGGACTCGATCCCAGGACTCTGGGATCATGACCTGAACCGAAGTCTTAACGACTGAGCCACCCAGGCGCCCCACTTTTTTTTTTTTTTTTTTTTAAGATTCTATTTATTTGACAGATCACAAGTAGTCAGAGAGGCAGGCGTGGGGGGAGGGGGTGGAGCAGGCTCCCTGCTGAGCAGAGAGCCCAACGAGGGACCTGATCCCAGGACCCCGAGATCATGACCTGAGTCGAAGGCAGAGGCTTAACCCACTGAGCCACCCAGGTGCCCCTATATATTCATTTCTTAAAATTAACAAATGTATATATGTATATTCTGGACATCCACATTGTACCAGGCAATATGTTAGTGGCAGGACATACAAAGGTCATTAAGTCACGGTTCTGCCTCTCCAGGGTTCCCTGAGTACACAGGAATGGTGGGGAGGTGCAGTGCTCTCCTCTGGGAGCATCAGGGGTAAAGGGGCTGATCTCCTTGGCAGGGTCAGGGAAGAGGACTTCACAGGAAGATTGATCAGAGTCCTGATGATCATAGGCTCTAAACAGGCTGAAGATTTGTTTTCCTTAAGAGGAAAAAAAAGCTTGTTACTTGCATTGTATTTTAATTTGCTAAGTATTTCAAATTTGAAATTTCAGACTCTTAAAGGAGTCCTGTTCAGTAAGCACCTGTGTTCTGTTGGCCTCTCCAGGGAGTTTTTTTTTGTTTTTTGTTTTTTTTTTTTTTTAAACCATGCAGGGCAGAAGTGTAGCGTGAGTTTTTTTTTTTTTTTTTTTTTAATGTTTTTTTTTTTTTTTTTTAAGAATTTACAAGTAGGGAGGGAAGCAGGGGGGGGGGGGGGGTGGGGGGAGAAGCAGGCTCCCCGCTGAGCAGAGAGCCCGATGCAGGGCTCGATCCCAGGACCCTGGGATCAAGACCTGAGCCACCCAGGCGCCCCGCGTGAGTTGTTTTAATATGGACATCAGGGGCGCCTGGGTGGCTCAGTGGGTTAAAGCTTCTGCCTTCGGCTTCGGTCATGGTCTCAGGGTCCTGGGATCGAGCCCCGAATCAGGCTCTCTGCTCAGCAGGGAGCCTGCTTCCTCCTCTCTGCTGGCCTCTCTGCCTACTTGTGATCTCTGTCTGTCAAATAAAGAAAGAAAATCTTTAAAAAAAAAAATACAGACATCACTGACTTTGTCTTTGATGTTTGGATCTAGCTGGTCAGTGATCAGTAGATGTTTGTGTGGCCATTTCCATATATTTTTCTCACCCACTCATTAGTTTAGGTTTAACCTAATCTTGTAACTGGTGGGGAAATGCAGGTAGGTAGAAGAAATGACTCTCTCAAGGTCACCCTGTGATTCATTCAGAGGCAGATCCAGAAATAGAAGCTGAGTCCACTGATTTCAGTCTGAATGTCCTTGCTTCATACTCATTTTGAATCTTTGGTACTGAAGGACAACATCGAGTCAAAACTACTTATAAAAAAATAAAGAATTTTAAGTCTTCACTTAGGAGATATTTCAGTTCTGTTTTTAATAAGACCAGTCCCTTTCGTTGTTGAGCATCTGGCCTGCCTTGGGCTGGAAGAAGAGGGGTTATTGGTCAGAGGAACCAGATTCCCTCTAGGCAGCTCTCAGGGAAACTGTTCTTGTAGTGGTTTGGTGAACCCAGAAGGACACACGTCCCTGTTTCTCTGTTGCGGTTTGTTTTCTTGTCATCTGGCTTCACATTTGGTTCTTTACCACCCTCTACAGTTTTATGGGCCTCTTGGATATTACCAGAGGCCTGAGGAACAGAGGCATTCTCCTTAGGGAAATTGGTTTTTTGGCCTTAATTTTGCATGTCTTTGGCTCCATTAATTGCCAGCTGCCTTTGAAGCAGGTGATCATTGTATCTATAAGCCTCCATAAACATCTTTTATTTTTAAACCAGAGTGAGGGTTGTCAGCTCTGGAGAAAGGAACAGATGTTGTTCGTTTTTTAGTGCTTCCCAAGTGTAGGGAGAAAATTCAAGTGGAAAGAGATCTTTGTGGTACATGTTTGTGTTTGTTTGGTAGATAGAAAAACATTTAGTGATGACGGAAACCAAAACTTTATTTTGTGTTGGCTGTTAAAAACTAATGGTGTGGGGCACCTGGGTGGCTCAGCCGGTTAGGTGTCTGCCTTATGCTCAGGTCATGATCCCAGGGTCCTGGGATCGAGCCCTGCGTTGGGCTCCCTGCTCGGCGGGGAGCCTGCTTCTCCCTCTGCCTCTCCCACTCTCTCTCTGTCAAAATAAAATCTTAAAAAAAAAACCCAACTGATGATGTTTTAGGCCATCACACTGAAATCTTTCCTCAGTTAATTTGTTGGGCACGCAGCTTTTTCCGTGTTGCATAGGAAAAAAAGGGCTTCTGAAATTTGAGAGGTTCCTTTGTCCATCAAGTCTAGCAGATGCTTGTTAATAGAGTTTTGCG